CACGGACTTTTAAGTCCCGCTAGGCACTATGCGATCGCAGATTGGTGTACTGCCTGCCACCGTTATTATGCCGGAGTGCGTCAGGTTCAGCAGCATCTTAAGCATTATCCAAAGTGCTTAAGGAGATGTGTGGATCTCTACCCGCCACTCGAGCCCCATCAGATCAGCCAATTGGAAAGACCTTCTATCCTCCAGGCCAAGAAGGTCAAAGCCGGGGCCTGGCAGCACTACCAGGGCCGAATACCGGTCAAGGTACCCACCATACAAGGCCCTTTCCTCCCTACGGCGCTGGAGCGTGCACTCCATTGTGACGAGGAGGATGAGGACATACCGCTGTCGGCTCTCCACTTGCCGTACGTGCCAAAGGCTACTACGGTTCAGTGGATAGAGGACTACCTAGACCAAAAATCTGCAGAAGGGCCGCGTGTCACATCTGTCAGATACTGGTCAAGAAGACCGGCAGCAGTTCTCCTCGACCAAGCCCAGTTTCACTTGAATTCATCTTTAGCACGAATTTTGGACGCGCATTATTGAATGCACCGGAGTCCATCCAGAACAGAACAGAACAGTATTATCTTGGGGGTTTCCTTATGAGAACTATAGTAGAATTTGCCCTAAAACCCTATTTTAATTATTGCGGCCCCTATAGCAGAAGCCCTGAACTTGCTCTCAGCCTCGTTTTGCATGCAGGTTTCAACTTCCCATCGACAGCATTGACAGGCTTCGATTCCAAACCCGACGCCCCCGGACCGCCTGTAGCCGCCTAAACAGGGCTGATTTCGGAGCAGAGTAACCCGTGACTTCTCCAAGCTAAGCAGCATGATCGGGAAAGGCCCCTTCGGAAGTTAAAAACCAGGCTGAGCAGTTAGTAACACCATAATATAGGGGCCTAAATATTTTGGGGGTTCCTTATTGTAACTATAGTATAGTGGGCCCCAAAACCCTATGCTACTTATCAAGGCCCCTATATTCGACCACAAAGTTCCTGTTCAGAGTTGTGCTACAGTAGACCCCAGAGAGCTCTACTTCTATTGAAATGATGAAGGCCTCTCCATGCCCAGACCTTCCAAAATCCCTTAATTAAGGAATATACCTTAAATTATAGTAGGATCCCTATTATGATTTAAGGTATATTCCTTAATTAAGTGATTTTGGAAGGTCTGGGTGTTTGTGCCCCTCCCAGAACCCCGCAGCCCGAACCCGACGAGTTTCTATTTCAGCTCTGATAGCTGCCCAGAGAGCCCAATACGCTTTAATTAAGGAATATAGCATAAATCATAATATGAAGCGCCTTATACTTTCAGGTATATTGCTTGATTAAGGAGTATTGGGCTCTCTGGGTGCTAGCTTTTCTCCAGAAGACCTGATCAGCGCAAGGCACACGTGGAAGAGAGGGGCTTGGTCTTGCCGGAGGACGTTGTTTGTGTAACGGCCCAGGGAGGTAGGTTTAGGGAGGTTGTTGATCGAACAGGGTTTAGCGTTGATGATGATGATGATGATGGTGATGATGGTGTTTGTCATCGTGATGCTGATGATGGAGATATAAACATCACCTTCGCGATCCTGCAGAGGCCTAAGCCTTTATAACCGAAAAAGAACCCGAAACCCTGAACCGAAACCCTGAAGCTTAGAGGGTTTACTTAGGCTGAAATGTGGTGCTGAGCCCTCAAGCAATGGAGCCGAACATCCCGATGTTCAGGGTTTAGGGCTTTGGGGTTGTGGGGTTTGGGGTTTGGGGCCATGGGCTCTAGGGCTTCGGGGTTGTAGTTTCAGGGCTTCTGGATTGTGGAGTTTTGGGTTGCATTGTCAGGATCAGCGCATCCACCGGCGGCCGCGAACGTGCTTCTTCACACTGGAGAATGCTGAACAGGCAAGCGCAGGGTCTGCAGGCTCTTCGGGTTCTCGAAGACTCCAAGAGATGGTGTTGCAATGTGAGGTAGAGGATGGAGCCTGATGGAGCTTTTACCAAGCCCTTAACATCAAACTCTCAGCCCCCAAACCCCCAACCTAAACCCCATGCCCTAAACTCTGTGAGTGAAGTTTGTCCTATGCGACCCCCGTGCTCCTATGTTCGACTGTTCGGGATCGTGACCCTGGCTCAGGGGATCCATTTTCACCGAGTTGACCATTAATTAGTACCCTAAACCCTAAACCCTAAACCCTAAATAGTGTGTGTTGAGGGTCCTTTAACGGGTTCTACAAGGGATCGAGAAGGTCTTAGGGTGCATAGGGTCTCGGGGGGTCGGAATAATAAGCATCGCGCCTTCTGACAATAGGCCCTATTATATAATGTTGCGCACTATTAGACGCCCAAAACCCTCGTCTAATCTTTCAGACACCTACATTGCCTAAGTTTCTGTTTTGCCAATCTCTTTCTTAGAGTTTCTGGTTTGCCAGTCTCTTCCTTAGTACGTATGTCCACCATCCTGAGGCCCATGCAGTTTCGAGTGTAGAAATCCGGCCCAGCTCAAAATGGGAGTTTCCGAAAATTAGGGATTCCTTAGGGTTTCTTTAAAGGGTTCCTTAAAGGGATCTATAAGGCTTCTATAAAGGGGTTTAGGGTTGTTTAGAGTTTCCGAACACTTGGGGTACCCTATTTTGGGGTCCTTATAATCAGGATCCGACAGTTTAGGGTACCATATCAGGGTCCCCTATTTTCGGAAACTCCCAAATCGGACAATCAAGGCAAACGATGCTGACATGACTCTGCACATCCAGGAGGTGGGCCGTCTTTGTTTCACTGGGCTGGGGTTGGGTCGCTCGCATTTGGAGCCCAGCTTTGATGTGCCCCCCCTGAGGACTGCAGTGTTCGGATGGACTGCCGGGATCAGCCCACAGAGGCCACGCCCGCAGCGGACAAGCCCGCAGCGGACAAGCCCGCAGAGGACAAGCCTGCGGAGGAAAAGCCCCCGGAGGAAAAGCCTGCGGAAGAGAAGTCCCCGGAGGAAAAGCCCGCGGAGGAAAAGCCCGCGGAGGAGGACATGCCGATGGAAGAGAAGCCTGCAGAGTGAGCTTTTGCAGTCTTCTGCCGGAACCCAAAACGGGTTTCCGGATTATATTGTACCGAATCGACTGCAATGTGAGACGCTGCAGCTTTCCATACTCTCTTATGATGATTCGAACGTCGCGAAAGCCCGTTGAACCCTCAGACTGAGTGAGTAAACCACATACACTTCTGTAATGCAAGACCTGCAGGCCCTAAACAGAGCTCTCTCTCTCTCCCTCTCTGTCTTGTCTCTCTATCTCTCTAGATAGAGTACTGTAGGTGACCTTTAACCGGTTTGGGCATTATAACCGCTATATATTCCTAATATACTCCAAAAGGTCTACCTTTAGTTCTCCAGGATATGGACAAGTAGGAGTTAGTGCTGGGGCAAGAAGGACTCCAAATAGCTTGTGACGGTGGACTGAAGCTACTGAAGGTACTGCAGGGGCTTAAATAAATACCAAGATAATTTCTTACAGTTCCATACTGTAAGATGAAGTGTAATACACCTTAAAGGCCTGGGCCTATGCAAATTCCTCTCTTGTATCTGACCGGCACAAAGCTAACGGAGTTTCGAGTGCTGGCCGCTATAACGTAGCACAACGCGCATACCCATGACGGTAATTTCGAGCTCCAAACTCAAAGTTTCTGCAGGGCTGAGCTGGCAGCCGTCGACTCCCAAGCTCAACCCATTCCATCACCTCAGCATTCCTCGTGCCCATCGTGCCCCAGCAGATAGTTTTTGTTCTCCAGCCCGAGAAGCGCGTTGCATGACGCACCCCCCCTCTCACCGGCTTGGATTCTAATGGGGATGAGGGCGTGGGGGGATCGACATGTGGAAGGAGGGATCTTACTTATTTCTATGTTTGAAATTATTCATGTATGTGTTTGTGTGTGTAGCTGTGTATCTGTATATTATTGACAGATATACATGAAATGCAAAAAAACATGTCGGTATGTAGACGGATATGCATTTGTGCTATGTATACAGTCTACCCGACCTAGATACACGCGCAAGTTTCACATGCCCGAAAGTTGAAATTTACACATTCCCCAGCTTTGCAGAACTGCATATACCGTTTTGATATCTTCAACCATATAGGGCTCCTAGTATAAGAGTATAGGGCCCCTACTTATAAGGGTCATATTGTCACCAAGATAGTTCTGTTTCACTCATATGGTGTCACTAGTCATTGATTGCGTGGCATTTAATGCGTATGGAAAGTGCGTGGGTCCGGATGGCAAGGTACCCAGACCTTCCAAGATCCCTTCATTAAGGAATATACCCTAAATTATAGTAGGATCCCTATCATGATTTAAGGTATATTCCTTAATTAAGTGATTTGGGAAGGTCTGGGTATGTTCTGGGGAGCCAGGCCCTTACCACGTCACGGAGCGTTCGGAATCTGGCGAATATCGCTGGAGAAAAGTCGCCTACGCCGAATCCGAGAGACTGAAAAAGCACATGTCATCATAACCTTAAGATCCTGGAGCTTGAGTCGCCTCAAGGCGCATTGCATGCAACGGACGCGAGATGGTTCCGTGGGCATCTTGTACTTGAACCGCTGAAGGCTTTGCACACAACACGCCCTACATCAGTTTGCAGTGCTTCCACGACCCAGCTTCTCTCTGGGAGCCGACATGAAACACTACAGGCAGTCGATTCCTACAGTAGAGACCTTGCTAGGAAGCTCATCTGTTGTCGAGTTCTCGATGCACCTTCCCTGTTGAAGGCCGGTTCTACATCTGTTTGACAACACTGAACTTGACCAAGTTCTGTCGAGACACTTCTGGAAGGCTGTACATGGTCGTGTTACATGAAGGTGCCTCAACAGCTCAATTCAAATCACCGAAGCTGGCATGGCAAACAGTCGTTGCATGGGTCTGGCTCAACAGCTTTGGCTTTAACTTAAGCCACTGTCGGCCAGACTGGTTCTGCCATTGTACAGTTCGGTAACTCGTGCATGTGTGACTTTTGATCGGGATCACCCGGTAAGTTTGAACACCTGAAGCCATGAGCGCTGCACTTTCCGGCACAGAAATGCGAGCCATCGCCAAAGAGGCGTTCATTTACGGCTGGCCTGTTTGTGAGCACTACAACACCCTCTACGCATACAGCATTGATGTCAAGAACCCAGACTACAAGGCACCGCTCAATCAGATCCACAGCACTGCGCGGGTCTTCACACCCGAGGACAAGGCAAGGTGGCCAAACTCTCAGCAGTCGCCCTGGCGCATACCTGGACTATAAGTAAGACTCTAATGACGTTTATATAAAGAAAGGATCATAATCAATAACCAGGAACCCTAAAACAGCAGGTTCTTGAGGGTCCAGGTAGTGTTTGTAATTTTGATCAGGTGATCGTAACGCCGAACTCGGACACGCCATACTCCTTCGCCTGGCTGGACCTACGAACGGAGCCGGTGGTGATAACGGTCCCGGCCATGGAGAAGGACCGCTACTTCTCTTTTCAGACGCTCGAACTCATGACGCAGATAGTTTTGCCAACCCATGTTTTTTTTTCTGGGGCTCCAGCTGCCTAAATCATGGGCGGAGTAACCCACTATTAAACCCTGATCCCTAAATTCACTATTTTGGGTGATTGGGAGCCCCAGTATTCAATAAACTTCGTAGGGTTGAAGGGAGGGGCTTCAAAAAACGCCCTAAACCCTAAACCCGTAAACCCTAATCCCCTAAACCCTAAACCCCTCCTAAACTGCTTCAGGCTGGCAAGATCCGGGTTTGGTGCTTTCAGGGTTCCACAGCCGTAAGTAAGCTTTCCATAAATAAACCCGGAACACCAAACCTTAAAGCCCTAAACCTTATACAACCTTGAACCAAAAACAACCATATCTCGTATTTAAACCCTCCAATCCTAAACTCTGAAAATGTCAGACTTTCGGTTTAAGCTCTGTGGCATGCCTTTGTCAAGGATGATTGATATGTACACACACAACTTCGACTACCTGGGCACTCGATGTACGGGCAACTCCGGGGGAGTGTACATGATCACAGGCCTTGCGACAGGGTATAGGGGTTCAGACCAGCCCCAAACACTAAACCCTATAAACCCTGATAGGGTATAGGGGTCCGCGAAGCCACAAACCCTAAACCCTAAACCCTAAACCCTTCCACTTTTGGACTTTAGAGCTTAGGGGTGAGCGTTTGCGCCACAGGCCCTGGGTGGAAGGGCGGCAGCTACAGTGGCGAGGGACCACCTGCCAAGGCAGTCGCAGGCTTTACAAATAGGCTAACATAGGGAGGGGCCTTAATAATTGGACTTGGGTTTGGGGGTATACTATACCAAAAAACAAGGAACCCGAGAAGAGTATGGGTCATCATTAAGGCCCCCTTATTAGTGTGTTGGGGTTCGCTATAATTATAGTATAGTTAAAGTAATTAACCCTGAAAGCTTTTTTTTGGCTAGGCTTCTACACCAGTCAACGGGGCACAAGAATTAGACTAGGGTTGCTTCAAGCCAAAAGGTTTGATGGGGTTCTCTAATATAGGGGCCCTAGAATCTTAGAGCCGGATGTTGGCACGGGATATCATCGACAGCCCTGCAAGGAATAGCGTTAGCAACACAAGACTTCTGAAGTACATCTCCAGATTTTAGCGTGTCCACCCAGGATGCTACTTCGTAAGACAGAACGTCACTGCAGATCGACAGCCTGAGTTCCGACACTCTGAAGATTTAAGCCCCTTGAACAGTAAACCTTGAAGCCTAAACCCTAAACCCTCAAAACCCTCCCTAGGACCCCTAACCCCTGAACCCCAAAACCCCTGTTCTAGATCCCTTAAAAGCAACCCCTGTAGATCCCTTTAAGGGAACCCAAACCTTAACCCTGAATAACTTACCTTTTGAAGGACCTACATAAGGAAATCATTATAAGGAGCCCTAAAAAGGTAGGTTTTTCAGGGTTAAGGAAAGCCCTAGACCCGCGAGCGATCCCTCCCTAAACCCTAAACCCTAAAACCTAAACCCTAAAACCTAAACCCTAAAACCTAAACCCTAAACCCTAAACCCAAGACCCGCGAGTGATCGTCGGAACGAGGTGGACAAGGTCCTTTCCTGCGAGACGCCCCTGGCCTTGGCCATGGTCCGCACGCAGCTGAAGGGACCCGAAGACCTCGAGAACGTGAAGGCGAGCATCTTGGGGTTTAGGAGTTTAATTAGGGCTTTTCATAAACTTTTAGGGTTTTAGGCAGGGGTTTAGGGCGTTTAGGGCGTTTAGGGGTTTAGGGGTCAGGGTTGAGGGGTTAGATCGGAGCAAAGTATTCTGCTACAGTCTCTCTCTCTCTCTCTCTCTCTCTCTCTCTCTCTTTTTTTCTCTCTCTCTCTCTCTCTCTCTCTCTCTCTCTCTCTCTCTCTCTCTCTCGGTTTGCTATTATCGCGTATTTGTTTACACATGACAGTATAGGGGTCGGAAAACATCGTAGGCAATCGCGGGACTTTTTAACTGTGGGTATGCTATAATTTACCCCCAAGGACCCTTTTCGGTTTGGTAAGTGCCTACATTTGAGTTTTCAACGTCGCCGTGGCCGCTGCGGGTGTAGGATTCGAGAGTGTGAGGACCTTGCACCATGTGAGGTGTGCAGCTTGCTTGGCATATCCCCTGAAAGTCCCTGCATAAATCACGTCAAACATGCCCCCCAACTCTATTCCAATTATCATCCCCCCCTTGCAAAACATACGGACATCCCTAGGCATTTTAACCCTAAGCCCTAAACCCTAACCCAAAACCCTAAACCCCTAAACCCTAAACCCCTAAACCCCTAAACCCTAAACCCCTAAACCCCTAAACCCAAAACCCTAAACCCCTAAGCCCTAAACCCCGAAGCCCTCCGTCGGCCCTGGAGCCCAGGCCATCCAGTCTGGCTACAAGGTCACTCCTCTCAGCGGCTTTTCTATATATGGGAGTTTCCGAAAATTAGGGGTACCTTATTTTGGGGTCCTTATAATAAGGATCCTACTATTTAAGGTACTATATTAGGGTTCCCTATTTTCGGAAACTCCCATATATTGGGAATCCTTATTATGGTTTGGGAAAGTATCCCCCATAACAGAACCTAGAACCCTTTGGAAAAAGAGGGAGCACTTTTTGTCCTAGGTGATTGGGCATCCTAGGTAGCTATCTGGGAAAGCCCACTCCGGAAGCCAAGTCGGTGAATTGGCCAAAGTCGGATAAGGCCCTGACCATGACGGTGAAAACGTATCTCGGCACATTATGTATGTATATGCATATGTGTGTGTGTATGCGTTCAAGCTTAGGGACATATATATATATATATATATATACATATATATATATATATATATATACATGTATTCACATGCATATAGAATGCTTGTATTTCTGGTTGTGTTTATGCATTTCTTTTTGTGTTTGATTGGTTAGACATGTCAGTGTTTTTTAGTTTGCTCAGCTACGATTCAGTTGTTGATTGATGCTGAAGTCCAGGTCATGTTTGCCGCTTGTTTACCAGCGAAAGCTGCTCCAAGATCCGCTACCCCAAACGAACGCGCCCACGCGAACCTCCGGAATGGCCCTCTTCCTGACGGACCAGATGACCCTCTTAACAGTACTTTTATGCCGTATACCCTAGTAGTATGAATCCCTACATGGTACATGTCATTCATTTCGACTTCAGTCTTCGCCTAGCTAATCCCCAAAACCCTTAAACTGTCAACCGCTAGCCCAAGTCAGCCAAACCTCAAACACTAAATCCCCAACGCTCAGCTACGAAATCCTTACGAAGACCCTCAACCTTAAATTCCCCAAACCGGGAACACAACCCGTAAACCCAAAAGCCCAGGTACGAAATCCTGGATTTCGTCCTATCTCTGCTTCCGGTGCACGAGAGCGAAAGGGAACTGCGCGCTCGACTTCTTCAGCTCGGGATCGGCTCTGGAGGGCTCCGGATCTCGGAGCTTTGGCTCTGAAGTTTTTGTTGGGTTTAGGGTTTAGGGTTTGGGGCAAGGTCAAGCGGCGAGGGGCCGGGGGTTAGGATCTCCTGTATCACAAGACCCTACAAAATTCTGGGTGATGACCCCTTAATTACGGGGTATAGCCCTTAAAGCAATAGGTTTTGGGATCCGCAGGTAGGAATTAGAGAACTTTTTTTGAGAGAGGGAGGCGGACCACTGCTTTGAGGAGGGCTCCGGGGCTTCCTCTCCTTGTTTTCTTGCGGGTTTTCCTGGTTAAACGGGTTTGGGGTTTAGGGGTTTAGGGGTTTAGGGGGGTTCAGGGGTTTAGGGGTTTAGGGGTTCAGGGGTTTGGGGGTTTAGGGGTTTAGGGGTTTGGGGGTTTAGGGGTTTAGGGGTTTTAGGGATCTGTTTGAGGATTCCTGTGCTTCTGTCTCTGCTGGGGATTCGGTGGGCTTATGTGATGTGGTTCGAATTGAAGGGGCTCTTGCGGTTTGCAGTCTTCAGGGGTCTTTAAGTTTTGTAAGGCGTCAGTGGCATCCTCAGGGCATGAGGGTTTAGGGTTTGGGGCCGTTTGGGGATAGGTTTCAGGGCTTTTGGGCTTTGTAGGGGCTTTGTGCAGGGTTGAGGACAAGGGGTTGGGATGCATGGGGGCTTCAGAACAAAGGGCCCAACTGCAGAACTAGTGTCCTTTTGTGGGGTCTGGGTTTAGGGCTAAGACACCTCTACGATAGTAGTATCCTGATTAAACCGAACGTCAATTGCTGGACCCCTCATTTGAGGAATCGCCCTCAAGACTCTTTCGGAATGCCCCTCTTCCAGAAGCTACCGAAGCCTGATTATACGTCTTATAAATCCCGATTCCTATTTGGGCCTGTGGGCGTATGTATATACCTATGTGTGTATGTGTATATATATATATATATATATATATATATATATTTATATATGTATACATATATTATGTATTTAATTGTATTTGTACTTATGTGTTTGTTATTTTTTGTATTCATTCTGTTTATTTGATTACATTGCCCTTTTTCGTCATTGATTTGTTTATTTTCATTTATCTCTTTATGGTGGTTGCTCAGGAGTCTCCTCCTGAAGTCGTCGAAGCTCTGGAGCAAGGGATGAAGGACTCGGACGAGTTTCCGGTGCGAGGGATCCTGTCAAGGGCCCTTTAAGGGTACCTACAAGGGTTCCTTTTGAAGGCATATACAAAGAACTACGGTTGATGATATAAATCCTGCATGACCCATAATGGGGAATATACCATAATTCCCATAGCTTAGGGTCCTTAAGCTAATGCAGGATTCATATCATCCATCGTAGGGCTTTAGGGTTGGGGGGCGTAGGGTTTGGGATGAAGGACTCGGACGGGTTTCTGGCAAGGCTACCTTGAAGTTAGCCTCTAAAGGCGCCTTTAAGGGTATAGCGTTTATACATGTTGAAGGTTTACGGTTAGGGAAGAGGGACGAGTTTCTGGCGGCAGAGCTCCGAGGAGATATTCGGTTTACGTGTTCGATGTAGGTTTCTTCGTTCGGATTGAGGGCCTAATGTTGACTTCCTTCTTATAAAAGGAACTCCAGAAAGTTGGAATATGGCGTCAGGGTATTTCAGGGTAGGATACCCTATAATTTACCATAAAGGGTTTAGGATAATCATATTCCAACTTTCTGGCTTTTACCTTAACCCCCCTTGATTGATCGTAGGCCCCGGGCGGGGGGATTGACTATTGCGGGGGGGTCGGTCGTCGTAGTACAGTAGTACAGTTTCACAATAGTACAGTAGTAGTCGTACAGTGGTGTCGTACAGTAGTAGTCTCTCTCTCTTTCTTTGCACTGCTGAAGCGGTCGTAGTAGCTGCAGTTTCTTTCTCTCTGCACTGCTGAAGCGGTCGTAGTCGCTGCATTTTCTCTCTGCCTGCTACCAAACGAACAACACAGATCAAGAAGTACCCACAAGCAAATTTCCGCGGCTAGGGGTTTCGTAATACAGGGGGGATTATGATTGAGTTCCGGGGGTAGGGCTTTGCAATTGAGGGGGGGATTATAGTCAGCAAGTCAACATTACAGGACTTAGGATTTGGGCTAGGATTGGGGTTATGGCATTTTGAAAGAAGCTTTAGGGTTCAGGGTCTATAGGATGTATAGGACTTGGGGCTTATAGGGCTAAGGGGTTTAGAGCTTAGGATCTAGGCTTAAACCTCGAATCCTGCCAACGCCGCCTGGAAGACGCAGAATGCGGGGTTCAGACCAGCCTACCTTGCACGGACTGCCAAACGCGGCTAAACTAAAACCATAAGCTTGGAGTGGGTAGATGCCGCTCTCGTCGGCAAAGTATGACATCCCATTCAAACGCTTCTTGTTGATGCTTCCACAGGCAGGAGAGGGACATGTAGCAGCTGGCTAGTGCTGCCGGCAGTTCTTGCAAGGAGTTATGGAGGGTTCGGGTGCCCGATGGTAGAAAAACCTATGAAAAGATGTACCAAGTATTCCCTTGTGTCTCCCGAATGTAACCTGAGCATCATAAACCAACCATACAACTCTAGGCTGCTTACGAAGCCCTCTATATTAACAACCTGCTTTGAGACCCCTGTTAATCTTGTATGCAATGCCCGAAGGATGGTTGGGCAGAGTACGAGGAGGTCATCGAGAAGAGCTTCGCGCAGGGCAAGATGTCCAGCGCGGATCTTTTCGGCACGCGCGACTTCCTGAAAAACGAGTACATCAAGAGGCCCGTTTAGGGTTTTTGAGGCTTTAGAGCTTAGGGGGTTTAGGGGTGTTGTAGGGTTCAGGATTTAGGGTTAAGAGTTTAGGGCTTAGGGGGTTTGGGGTTTAGGGAGGTTTAGGGTTTAGGAGTCAGGGTTTAAGAGTTTCGGGCTTTGGGGGTTTGGGGCTTAGGGTTGGAGGCCCCTCGACTGTTGCGGCTCTAGGAGGTTTTCGAGCTGTTGCATGGACTAGCCTAAACTCGGGACCCAAGCCATAGTAGGCGCCATTGTAGCTCCTTTTTTATGAGGCAATCCCCAAAAGGAACTACCATGGAGCCTATGGGCAAGCCGTAGAAACGGTCATCCCACCAACGGTGCTACAAATGAGGGCCTGGGTGGAGGGTACACTGGGCTCTGAACCCACAACCCAGAAACCCCAAACCCTAAAGAATGCTAAACCCCTAAGCATCAGCCCTAAACCCGTAAACCCTAAGCCCAAAACCCTAAAACCCTAAGCCCCATCTAAGAGGTACAAGGAAGCGCAACATGTTGAACCATGCCGCTCTAAGGCCCTAATTCCCAAGCCCTAAATACCCTCCAAACCGGGGAAACTGCGAACCACAAAGACCCGAGTTCTAGAACCCTAGGTGGCACCTTGGGAAGCTTGTTCATTCCCCTTTATGGTTCCGATAAAGGTACCTAATCCGTAAACGAGTTTCAACAGCCCCAAAACCACAGAAAAAGGTTTGGCGGGGCCAAACTTGGAATCTACGGGAACTCCCGGGAGGAGGCCTTCTACCCGCCCCTGGACCTGCAAAAAAGAGCTCAACGGGTGGGTAAAGGGTTTAAGGTTTTTTGTGTTTTAACATACCTAAAGCCCTTTTCCATTTAAATTGAGCTTTAATTTTAATTAAAGGCTTGGGTTTAGGATTCGAGTGGTGGTTGGTAACTGAGGATTTAGAGTCTGGGGCTTCAATTTCAGGGTTTGGGGCTCCAAGCTGAAGGAATGTTTAGACTTGAGTGCAGAGAAGGAACTCCTGAACTCCACACACCTAAACCCCAAAAGGCTAAGCCCTAAATCCCCCCCAAAACCCTAGACCCCTAAGCCCTAAACTCTTAACCCTGAAATCCTGAACCTTAAACCCCCAAACCCCCTAAGCCCTAAACTCTGAAATCCCAAACCCCCAAACTCTCAAGACGTTCGAGGCTGAGGAGGGTGCGAAACTCGCTTGCGCGATCCAGCTGAAGCAGAGCCCACCTCTTCTAATCCCTAGGACCCAGAGTAGGCCCTTATTCCCTTTTTTAAGGGTTCAGGTTCCCTTATAACTCCCTTTAAACCAAAAAGGGCACCCTTTTTATTCCTAGGTTACTCTTAGGTCTAGATCCTGACCTGAAGGGTTGCTATCAGGGTCGCGCTTGGGGGCACCTTAAGCCGGAATAACCCACCTGTTTAAGGACTTATATAAGGAAATCATAATAAGGAACTTTAAAAGGGTAGGATATTCAGGGTTAAGGTACTGTAATGGCAGTGTTATTGGACCACCTCAGAAGAAAGCCCCCAAAAGCCGGATCCTGATTACAGCTTTGCGCTACCAGCGAGAAGGAATGCACACGTTTACCACATGCTGTACTGCTTGTTCTGTCTGTGTTTGGGTTTAAAAGTAAGCGCCTTATTACCAGCAAAGGCCCATTATGGTATCCGAAGCTACGTCTCTGAGCAAGACCATACATACCTACACCTAACATACATACATACATACATACATACATGCATGCATACATACATACATACATACAGTCTTGTATGGTTGTGTAGGTATTGATATATACACACACACACACACCTCCAAATATGGTGATATCTGAAACGAAGTTCCTTATACCCCCCTCCGCCGAAAGAACTGAGGCTCTACAAGACCTTGGACGGGCAAGCTTTGGATGCTTCGAAGAGTTCCTATAAGCTGGTCTTGAGCAAAAAGGCCATTGGCGGGGTTTGTCTCATGTGTTTAATGGTGTAGGGTTTAGCGTTTAGGGCTTAGGGGTTAAAAGGGTTCAGAGGTTTAGTGGTTTAGGGTTCAGAGTTTAGGGTTAAGGGCTATGGAGCAGGGAATGGAGCTCATGTTATGTCGAGAGTTTAGAGCTTAGGCTTCTTCATGGTGGGGTTTGCCAGTTCCGGACATCAGGTGTTCAGGGGGATCTGGGGGTTGAGAGGCTTGGGTTTAGGGTTTTGTTCAGAGGACCAGGCTGAACCATCCTCACCTGTAGACCCTAGAAGCCTACACCCTAGGAAGAAGCTCCGGATTATGCAAAAAAAGCCCCCAAACCCCTGTGTGAGCTCCACGGCCCTGTGCAGGACCAAGAGATTCCCAAAGCATTCTGGTCACTGACGATGATTTTCGGCGGCAGATCTATTGCTGTGTGTGTTGTGGGAAGTAGGGCCTTGATTAGAGTTTTGGGCTTAGGGTTGAGGGCCTAGAGCTGAAATTTAAGGGTTCATGAACCTTCAGCTATCACCAAAGATCTGAGTTCCAGTGGGTGGGGGCGGCTGAGACTGTTCCAAGCAGTGTACGTCCCAGGAATACACAGTCTTTGGCCCCGGCTTATGCCTCAAACCCTAAAGCCGAGCCCAAACCCAATCACTGAGGGTTTAGGGTTTAGGGCAATCCTAAACCCTACACCCTAAAGCACTTCTAGTGTAAAAACAAAAACTCTAAGCTAACTCTGTCTACTCCCAGCGCCCTCCGCCGACCTTAAACACGCGCTTCGAGCGTTAGCGGCCACAAACAGGATGCCGTTCATACCCAGAATAGTAGAGTTCTTTAAAGGGCTCTTGCTGGATTCTTTTTCGTCGTCTTATGAGGGCACTTATAGGGTTTATCTTTTTTTAATCGATTCCGTAGTATAGGGGCTAGGAAACAAGCACGACTTTCAGTTCCCTCTGCTGCACCTGTGCTCTCCCAAAGGGTCCTAAGTACCTCTAGTAGTGAACCCTGTTGTAGAAACCCCCCATATTCTACCATATAGGTACTTACAAACCCTTTGGAAGTATCTAACCCTAAACCCCTAAATTCCTGAACCCTAAACCCCTGCACCCTAAACCCCTAAACCCTGAACCCCTTAGGTACTTAAGACCCTTTGGGTCTCTCTTCAGGTACGACGGTGTCTCGCAGCTCCTTGTCGAGAATCCGCTGAACCGCTATCTGCTGAACAGCGCTATGCTTCCTTCCATGAAGGTCGCAGAAGACGGTTCCTCAGCAATCGCTTGAGGTTGAGTGAGGACAGGTTGTGCAGTTTATAGGCTCCACAAGTCATACTTTACCCCAGACCGTTGAGGCACTCGAACCTTATGCCCTCAACATCCTGAACGTCCTTGTAGCTGTTATAGGTCGGAACATCTCAGAGATGCGGGCTTGCTGGTCACTGGGTCGGGTTTAGGAGTTTATGGTCTGCCTTTGCCAAGGGTTTGGGTGTAGGGGTTTGGGGCAAGATATTCGGGACTGAACCAAGACCCTAAACCCGTAGACCCTGTAGGGTTTAGGGGTGTCGGATCTATAAATCCTAAACCCAAACACCCAAGTCGCTGGCTCGTCAGTTTCTGATGTCTTGCAGGACTCGTGGTTCGAACCGCAAGAATTACAAATCAAAGAAATATACACGAATTCTTTTCCGGAACTGCTCGTGGGGCTAAGGGTCTTGGGTCTAAAGGTTTGTCGGGTTTAGAAATCCTGAACCCTAAACCCTAAACTCGAGTTCGGCGCTGGGCGCACCCAGCCCAGGCTCTGTGACGCTGCATATCTCCGCATCATCGCCTGGCCCAGAGCTGGACAGGGGGCTCCAAAACTACTGCGAGGGCATTCTTCTTGGGGGTTGAGGGTTTGGGGGTTTCCAATTTAAGGCTTCGGGCGTTCAGGGTTTAGGGTTTAGTGCCTTCTTTTCATGAGAGTACTTTGGGGGCTTTCGAGAACTCATTGTTTGGGATTGTTATGAGGGCTCTTATCGGGCTGTAACAGGTGCTTGAATGTAGGGTTTTGGTATGGAGTTTGGAATAAGGCGACCCTCAGGAATGTTTTTGCTGATGATTCAGGCCTCCAGAATAGCAGACTTCTGCTCCAACATTAGGAACTTGGGTTTAGCCGGTTTGGGATTTGGGTTCAGGGAAGGAGCAAGAGCCGAGCCTCACAGCAACCGCTTCTGCTTCCTGGCACACGGCTCGGACAAGTCCTGGTCGAATGTTTGCGGGTTTGGGTTTTGGTGCAGCCCCAAAGGTCCAAGTACCTGATAATCATACTCTCCCAACTAGTAAGTAACCTACATATCTACTATCCGTAACCAGACCACCTTACTATTGGGTCCTTTGGACCCTTAGGGTAGGGTTCAGGACTTGGGGTGAAAATGGCCTTTGTAAACCTTACCAGACCGCGGAAAGCCCTTGATTTTCAACCTCTGCTGTGGAGTTACTGGGCCTGCAAAAGCTTGCCAAGATGCTAAGTAGGGTTTGGCATTTAGGATTACGGGCCAATTACGGGTTTCTTCAGCCGAAGCCTTAAATATTGAGGGTTCAAGTTTTAGGGCTTTGGATTTTGGGTTTGGGCACCTGCACCTGAAAGTCTCAAACCCCGAACCTTGGATTGTAAGCCCTCAGACCTTAAATTGCCAACCCCGGAAATGAACACCTAAACCCTAAGAAATGTTGAACCGTAAGCCCTATAAGCCCTAACCCCCTAACCCCAGACCCCCTAAACCCCCTAACCCAAACCCCCTAAACCCCTAACCCCCTAAACCCCGAGACCTTGACAGGAAAGTAACTGGCTCCCTGCTCCCTCCGGCCTCTTCTACATGGTCATGCGGCTCTATTTGCCAAACTCTGACGCCGCTCGGTAGGGTTCCTTAAAGGCCTCCTTCAAAGAGTTTAGGGGAGGGGTTTAGGAATTAAGGATTCCTTAATGAAAGGGTTCCCTTAATGGTCTAGGGTTTAGGGTTCAGAGGATCCTTGAAGGGGTTTAGGGTTTCGGGCCTACTTAGAGACCCATGGGACTTCGTCATTAGGGATGTGAATCACGTTGCTATAGTTATATTTACTTATACCTCCAACTAAGGTACTGATAACCTTACTTACTAAAGTAAGTGCCATGACCCTCCAAGTAGGATTTAGGAGTCAGAGGTTTAGGGGGTTTAGGGCTTGGGTTTTTTAGGGCTCAGGGCTTTTGTTGCTGCGTTTTAGGCTTTATGGTTGTCTATTCTTTGTGATTCGGTTGATCCAGATTCGCTGGGCAGGTTGCGCACGAGTGTGTTCATGTGAGGTTTTAGGGTTTCAGCTTTAGGTGGAGTTTGCAGGGCTGGATGTCTTCGTATTCCTTGGCTTTGCTGATGATTGTGAAGAGCATGAACTTGACGAACCAAGTACGCTGGTCCCTAAAACCCTAGACTCCAGACTCAAAGCCCTGAGCCCCAAACCCTAAGGGATGACCACATCCCAGGCATTTTCGGGTGGCTGGCAGCAACCAAAGTTGCAGCTAGTGCCGAAGTGATCCGGGGCCGACCAGCATTTAATCACCGAATGATGTGCCACTCTGCGGGTACGTTGGGTGACGAACATCGCTTGTCAGCGCTGGCTGTGAAAACAGGTCACTCGGAAGCCTGAATGCCATGACATTCCACTGTGCCACCACCACCCTAGGAGGCAGCAGCAATTCGCCTCGCATCCAAACAATCAAAGCCTGAGGCCCTAACCCTAAACCCTAAAGCCCTAAACCTTAAGCCCCTAAACCTGGCCACCCGAAGGCCCTCAACCCAAAAAACGGTTCGAACTGGCAACAGCCACATGACATGACGGCTATGACGGCTCCAACCAGAACCGTGTCATGTTAGTAGGTGGGTCGGAGGACTTGGTGAGTAAGTAGTAATTGCAGTTTTAAGTACCCTAGTTAAGAGATGATGATACTTATAAGTTTAGAAGGTAGCTGCTTACTACGTCGCCCTGGAAGTACGGCAACGAACTTGAGAGCATGCTCCTTGCTGTCCATGCCTTGTCTGTACTGTAGCTGCTGCAGGGTTCAGTGCGCAAGACAGGTTTACGAGTCAGAGCAGAAACAAGCACGAACACAGGCTGGGGACGGAAAGAGTTTAGGGTTTAGGGTTTAGGGGCGAAGCAGTCTGAGTTGCCATCATGAAGGGAGATATTCCAAGAATCCGAGGCCATATCAGCACAACATACACAGATTGGAACGGCACATAGGCATGTCAGTGGCCCCAGTGGATGTTGCGCCACCTGGGCTGGCATGGCTTAGGTTTGTGTTCGGGATTGACGGTTTGAGATTGTGGAGCTCGTGTTTGTGGTTGATACCGAACCTCCTGGAAATACAGTTAAGGTTTAGGGCCCCCTAGACCCTGAACCCTAAACTTTGGGCGCTTTCGGGTTTCGGGGTTCGGCACGGGGTGCACAACCACCGGCACTGGCACCTCTAAGTTGTGGTGGGAAGTTGACGTCGAAGCCCTAGATGCAAAACCCTATGTCGATCCCGAACCCCTAAAACCCTAAACCTAAGAAGCCCTAAGCCCTCAACCTGTAGAGGTCTTAAACCCTAAACCCCGGAAGCCTACAGCCTTGAAGCCTTACAGTGCCTAAGGAGCAAGCCCACGCTTGCGAGCTACAACATCCGGCCTGATGCCTTTGACCCTCGTCGACCCGGCCCGCCAAACAAGCTGCAGACCTCCAAGGGGCGGGATGCCACCCGGCCGCCCTTGCTTTAAGGACGAAATGAGCCTTAAAGGGCCTCAAGGGGGTGTAAGGTTTATATACCATCCAGACACGAAATGAGCCTTAAAGGCGTGTAAGGGCCTCAAAGGGGTGTAAGGTTCATATACCAATCACGGATTCGTAGTATATGGGATTATATGGGTATGGGGGCCCTACATACAAAGGTCAGTTGGTCTTCTAAAGGGGCTTCAATCATGGCCACTACTATGCTATGCCTTAGGTAAGTTAGGGCACCTTGGAAACTATAACTACACTTTCTATACCAACGTCTCATCCTTGGGCTTTCTTAACTAGGTTCCCCAGTGGTACCCTTTTGCCTTTTTTCTTTTTTGGGTTCGCTGGATAAAACCAAATAGTAGGGAACAGGGTGCCCTTATGATTGAGGGGGCACTGGGGAGCCTAGTTAATGTAGGGCTTATTACCAATACTATTCCATAGAGCCCCCTAGTAAAATTACAATGGGCTATACCCCCAAACCTTATACTAATTAATAAGGCCCCTATATTGCGAATTTGTGTTCTGAGTTTTGGTTTTGAGGAAGTCAGGGGGGCTTGAGGGGTCAAAAGGTGATGGTGTCAGGGCTTGCGGCGTCCCCCAGGCCCTACTAACCCACCTCAAAGCCTTTTAAGCCCTGAACAACTAAAAGCTCTAAAGCCCTGAACCCCCAAACAAAACCCTAAACCCTAAACCTAAACCTTGAGCCCTAAACACTAAACCCCCCTATAGTTCCCTAAAGCCATAAATCCCATGGGCCCAGGAAGCCTTGCTGGCGATTCTCGACCGGCACTCTGAGGTCGCAGATGCCAAGATCAAGAGTCGAGACTACAAAGGTGCCATCACCTTGCTTCCAGGCCTTCGTTTTGAGTTTCGGGCTTTAGGGCTTTAAGGTTTAGGATCAACATTTAGGGTTTGGGGATTAGGGGTACCAGGCCGCCATCACATTGCTCCCAGGCTTGTGGATTAGTCGGTTTGGGCTTTCAGGGTTTGCAGTGTTTCTTCGGTTTTGGGGGTGTTTAGGGTTTGGGGTTTGGGGAGCCCGTTCGAGTTCTGGACGCCCTCACGTTACACCCAAGTTCTGTGATTCTGCAACCCCTTCGCTTTTGCCTGAATTTGAGACCTGTTCCGGCAAAGCCGCCGTAGCATCAAAGCATAACCCAGCATTACGGGAATCCCTAATGAGGATCCTTGATGAAGTGATTGTCCATCATAGCAAGGTAGGGATTGTAGTATTGGGGCCTGTGCATTTATTAATAGTACCCCAAACCCTAAACCCTATCGATAATACTGATAATACTGCTCTTTCAGGCTCCTTCAAAATATTTCTCAGGCCCCACATACCGAACACCGACCTGTAGTAACCCTTCTGGAAGCCTGAAAAGAACGTTTGCAATCAGATCCTACCTAGCGATTAAAGCGCCTATGGTAGCCAAGGGGTCAGAATACAGTTCCTAAGGGTTCCTTAATGTATCTGTGTCTTAAACCATAGAGTAGCACTTATTCTAGAGCCCTGTAAACTTTTGTGGAGTCTCCTGTTGTCGGTGCCCTTCGAGCCCTAGACCCTGAAACCCTAAGCACCCTGCATTCACCTTCAATGCACATAAACCTAGACGATGATTTAAAATAGCGGGTCAAGGGCGCAGGATCTAAACACCTTCACCGTAAACTACCTTAACTCCTGGTAGTAGGTATCGATTTGGGATAAATTTATATTATCCCGTGTTGTTCAATATAGAGCCCGCGTTATACAATAAAGTGGGACTGTTGGAACCAACACCTGGAGTAGTATTGAGTCTCTCTTCGTGGGTGCTTTTCGAGCCTAGGTTGCGGCGGACGTATGCCCTGGTGAATGCACACAGCTCGCCAGCCCCGGAGGTGAATTGTTGTTTTAGACCTTTCGGGTTTCAGGGTTTAGGCAGGGTTCCACGGTTCAGGGTTATAGGGCTTGGCCTAATTAGAAATCGCATTCCTTGGATCCTTTTCGTACTTTTTGTATGTTGTACCGCAGAAACCTGGTCGAATTATTGAGGCAAGGGTAGTTTTTGAATTGGGGGTTCGGTTGGTTATTCTGCCTGAACCATCGACGCCTTATCCCATAAGTCCCTTCCGCAGCATTTCAACCCTGTAGAGATTCGCAAGACCCTTAAACCCTAAACCCTTAAACCCTAAACCCTCGTAACGCCCGGAAACCCCCTTACAAACCCCAAATCCTCAACCTATGCTGGTGCCCTTTTGCCCTTTGGCTTCCTGATCAAAAAACAAACCAAAAGGGTACCCTTATGATTCAGGAACTACTGGGGAACCCAGAACCCGAAACCCCAAAACCTGGCCCTACTCTAAGCCCGAAACCTTTAAAAAGCCCTGCACTGCAGCTTCACACCTTACCAGACTCCCCTGCCCTAACAGTTGCTAACATCGAGGGCCGGAATGATGGCAATGATCTCCCCTTACCGTCGACATATAGTTTCAATTTCCAGAGTGATTTATCTACATTGCTCCAGTGTAGAAGAAGTTCTCAGTTTTGACCCTCGACCGACTTGTCTAGCAGCTCCGGATTTGTGGTCGGCTCAGCCGCATGAGCCCGAAACCCTGAACCCATTAATCTCAAAACTCCTAAAATCCGGAGCCTAAGCTCCCGAAACCCTGAACCCCCAACATCCTTAAAGCCCCCAGCCTAAAAGTTCACTGCAGGATGGTCGGGCACTAGTTGTGCGAGTGGCAACCGCCTGCCTGCGCTTGCAGCTCTGCGCCGCATCTGGAGCTGCACTGCTTCTGGGTTTAGGGTTTCTCACAGCAGGCCAAAAGGGGTTTTAGCCTATGGGGGTTTAGTAGGGATTTGGGTTCGCATAATGGGGTTCGTATTAAGGAATCCCTACCCTGACAATCTGAAAGCCCCCCTTTTGGCCTCCCTTCAGTTTCGGGTTAAACCCTAAACCCTAAACCCTAAGCCTTAAACCCTAGGTCTTTAGGGTTTAATTCTGGGGTTCTGGGTTTGGGCCTCGCTTTCCGATTTTGCTTACGATTCTGGTTGGCCTTGCTTCACAGATAATGCGCCGCCCCAGCCATCCTGAACAAGGCCCTCGGTTTAGGGTTTAGGGGTTTAGGGGTTTCGGGTTTAGGGGTTTCGGGTTTAGGGGTTTCGGGTTTAGGGGTTTAGGGGTTTAGGGTTTTAGTGTGTATCCTCAACTTCACTCGAGTCCAAACCCCGTTCAACTCTCGTAAACCTGAAGCCTGAACTTCCTAAAACCGGCCTTCCAGCAAAATTCTTAGTGACAGCACAGGCCTTGTCCCGGATCGGCCGACACGCACCCGCCCTGGATGAGGCAGAGCCTTTTCGTGGGTTTGGGTTGCGGCTTTCGTTCCACGCTTGATTGCAAATGCGAACCCAACTAAGCCCTTGGAGCCCACTTGCTAGTACAGTAGGATCTTTCGCTATGGATATTACTATATTACATTCAGGCTTTGAGAACTGACCCGCTCTAGAGGTAATGTAGGACCTATACTCAGATACTCCTAAAGTATTATCAGGATCTATACAAAGACTACTAATAAAGACCCAGTGTTTCTTAATCAGGCTTCCATATTGACTGAGTTCCTGGGGGTATGCAACCATAAACCCCCAACCGTCAAGCCCAATGCCGCTCGGGGCATGCGAACCTGGCAAGCTCGCAGTTACTGTATCGGTGCGAGCGGAGAAGGACGGTAGTGCTCTTCAGCACGAAAAGCGTCTCGATTGGGGACTAGTACTTCCGGGCACTTGCTAAGGAACATAGT